TGGAGGTATACTTCTGGTGTGCGGTCAACCTGCAGTCGTACCCAGTAGGTCGACTGATGCTGACTATTACAAGACAGGCACAGATCTGTCACCATTGGCCACGGATGGTCCCGGCTTTCCGCGGAATACAAATCCCGGCATTTCCACGACATTAAAGTAACGCGTCAGGTCTACAGTAATTATACCTTCACAGCCTGGACTTAACATTGCGCCAAATTCCATAATTCTGTGTATGTCTTTTCTCATTTTCTACCAAGACAGCATCAAAATTATTCATTATGCCCGAGAAACTTCTTTTCACGGGCGCCACAGGCTTTATGTGCGTTCCGTGCCCTTTTCCGACTCGAACTTGCCCTGTCAAACTGACTGCTTCGTAGAGGTGGCACTGTTCTGACACAGCTCCTAAACTCTTCTAACAAAGACATCAATGCACTGTCGATTACCGCTTTAGTTCGGGGGCAAGAACAAGCGGATATTCTGAGCCAGAAAGGCATCCATGCCGTCCTCTTTACGGGCCTAGATGACTCTCAATTTTTGACGAAGATTGCAAGTGAGCACGACTACGTTATCCACACACCGACTGGCTTCCATACAGGCTCGGCTGTAGCTCTTTTGGAAGGGCTAGCGGAGCGGAAGAAGCAGACGGGAAGAGATGTCCACTTCGTTCACGTAAGTTTTCGCGCTAATCTGACTCTTATCGTAATATCTTTAACAAAACATGGATGAGCCAGACATCGGGAACGTCCAACCTTGCTGAAAGAACGATCACCCAGCGGTCGGGTGACATTCATCAATGGTCAGACAAGGAGAATGTATACGAATATGAAGAAAAGAAAGAATCCCAGGAGGCTTACGGCCAGCGAACAACAGATATTGCTGTTGTTAGGACTGCAGAGAAGACCGGAGTCAAAGCATACATCATGATGCCCCCCACAGTCTACGGGCGTGGCACCGGCCTCTTCAATCAAGGATCCATGCAAATTCCTAGCATCATTCGTGGCGCGATCAAGGCCGGCGTCCCTGAATACGTCGGCGAGGGCACAGCCCGTCTTGGGCATGTCCATGTTACGGATCTTGCAATACTGTACGAGCTTATCTTGAGCAAGGTCCTCTCTGGAGAGACGATTCCTTCAGGCAGGAGAGGTATCTACTTCTCTAACACTGGCAGTCACAATTGGCGAGATCTTGCGGCCTTGGTTGGTAAAGCAGGTGCCTCGCTTGGTGCTTTGGAGTCAAGAGAGCCTCGTTCGGTGAGCTTGGAAGAAGCTGGATCAAGATGGCTGAATGCGACACCCCAGATTGCGGAGATGAATTATGCTGCACAGTGAGTCATTCCAAGTGTGCCAACCAAAGATTTAAGCGAGTACAAGCAGGGATTAATTTCTTCAGCTCTTCTACGAAGCCTGTTTTGGCACCAGAGCTCGGTTGGAGGGCCATGAAGACAGAGGCCGATTGGGAAGCTTCGTTTGTAGAGGCGTTTCAAATGGTTTTGGACGAGCAGGCCCAGTAATCATAAAATTGGTCTTTCAACTACTATTCAGTCTGCTTTGTAGGACTATCAAAGCCCTATGGGTCTTGTCTGCTGTCAGGCCTCGCCGGATAGGGGATAGCATAAGGGGCATTAAGAGGAGGATCAAGCAACAAAGGAGCAGCTCAGGTATATGTAGAGCGCTGAGAGTATATTTCGAGGGAAGGGCAGATTTCAGTAATACATCTTCTAGACCCTAAGAGCAGTTGACCTCTGTGAGCTCCTTCCCTGTGTCGTGCACCTATTGACATCTGCTCACATTGTATTCTACTGGAAAGTCCTCTCGAGACCTGTAGTTGGTCTGATACCAGTGTATGGATGGATCCAACGAATATATAGTCCGTAACAAATAAACAACCCCATGCTATCTGTGGGTATGACAAGCTTTAGTAGACATACAAGTTCAAGGCATCTGGGTTAGACGCCAAAGTTTTCTTGTTCTGCCTCTGTAGCGCAATCCTCATGATCCAGGCGCAAACAACGACACCGAGAGAGAAGCCGATACTAGCAAGCATTGCAGTCAAGTATCGTGGCTCATCTGATTCTGGCCACAGGTATGGAGTGTAGACGCTAGCAAGGTTCCCAAATGTGTTGGCCATGGCGATCGCAACGGCCTTCTTCTCATCCGTCTGGCCTAAAGTTGCCGAGGTCCATCCGAGAATGATATTATTCACCTAAAATTCCGTTAGGATGAAGTAAATTTTGTGGAATCAAAATCGGCATTTGGATGAACTAACCCCATACGTTGCTCCAACGAAAATCATGATACCGACATATCTAACAGTAGTATTGAGTGTGGCCACAGCCATGGCGAAGCCCGCACAAGCAATGAGCTTGCTCACTGTTGTGTGCCATGTGCGTTCATTGAAACGGCCTGATGAATGCGATACAACAATGCTCATGATGCCAGCTAGAATGTACGGCGGGCACGTTAGAACTAATGTGATTGTGGTGTTGTAGTGAAGGGTTTTGACAACGCTCTGTCTCCAGTCAGCTTATTGTAATCTGAAAGATCAGCTATGGCTGCGAATCCTTACCGGCAAGAAGTTCTTGAAACCATTTGCGGAAAGGTGCAAGTTGTCCATGAGACAGAAGAGCCATGTTCTCCAATCGGTACAAGCCTCGCGCAATCCTTTCCAGACACTGGTGCCTCCCTCGCGACGATCGGTCGTATCGTCGAATATGCGCTGGTGTGCCATATGTCGTTGCTCAGGGTTGAGCCAGCGAGTCTGAAGCGGAGCGTCGGGGAGGAAGTAGAATGCCGCCATCGCCACACCAATGGACACAGCACCCTGGATAATGAATAGCCTACAACTGTGAGTCTCCAATCTGAGTGGGGTGAGCCGGATTCTATCATACCATTGCCAGCCTGCAAGGCCGTGCTTCCCATCGAGTCCGGCGAATATGCCAGCCGCAATCAGACCAGAAAAAGCGCTAGCTAGCATGTTGCCAGTGTAAAAGACAGCCATTCGAGTCGCAATTTCCTTGCGTGTGTAGAACATGCTGAGCATATAGAGTGCGCCAGGGTAGAACTAGACTAATGTCAGCCCGTTCATGTCTTCGATGTCGGCGACAACAACGATCAGATACTTACCGGAGCCTCTGTGATACCGAGAAAGAACCGGCACACTAGCATTGTCTTGTAGTCGTGTGCAAGGTACGTAAGCAGACTTATTATCGACCAAGTCAACATGAAGCCTGCGATGTAACCACCCATTAGAACTACGCGTTCTTGATTGGATGCTTGGCATACATACCCGCCATGTACCAGGAGGGTCGCACTCGGTTCAGGATCATGTTCGAGGGGATCTGGCCACACAGGTATCTACCGACATTGAGATTAGTGGCCATTTGGTACACAAAGATACATAACTCACCCAACAAATAGAATGGATACGCAAGTGTTGTACTCAGTTCCTTTCAGCTTCAGGTCTTCGGACAGCGAGTTAAGCTTGCCATTGATCATTGCGTTTCGGTCGAGGAAATTGAGGAAGTACATGATCCAGAGAATAGGCTTCGGTCGAGTTAGTAAAGGAAGCATTTTCCCAACCATCAACTGAAGCTCGTACCAGAATGTAGAAGTCAATCTTCTTCACGAGTGCAATCTCCTTGGGGTCGGTCTTGGTATGCGCTCCAAACTCGTCAACCTTGCCAATCTTGGCGACAGGCTTCTCGGCGCCTCCATTAGAACCGCCTGTCAAGACACGCTCCATTTGTCTGACATCTGCCTTGTCCTCTTCGGACTTTCTTGGCTCAGTCATTGTGCTTTGATGACTCGGAAAGACGCTGGCATTTGAACCCTTTGTGCGTTGTCTCGACACCGGTCAGATCGTGGGATGACGTGGCTTTCGAATTGCGAGACTTCGGTATTGGACGGTAACACTTCCAAGCATTTTTTCGTCTGTGCAGAGCCTCTCTATATAAGGTAACAAGGAAAATCAGACTATCTCATCTCTCCGTTGGCTCCGCCTGAAGTCACGATAAGACCGACTCCCCCAGGTGGAGCGTTCCCCCATGGGGGAGATGGGGCGCCGAGCTTTTCCGCTCGTGCGGGGTTCGGGGAGATGATGGTCTTCAATTCGGACCCTGCACTAGTACCGACATGGTAGTGACCTGGACGCGTGTTGACAGGGTCTTACATGAAGAGGATGCGACGGAAAACCACTTCTCCAAATACTCCGAACCCATTTGAATCTTCGGTTATGAACCTGGCCAGCTTTTCCGGCTCCACCGGTAGGACAACATGGCGAGGCTCAACGGACGGAAAAGTCACACTTTCCAGGAAGGAATGTGAGTCGCATCAGCCCGATTATCTGACATTTCCACACACTGACTCTGACTTACAATTACCCACTGAATCTTTCTCAAATTATTGGCATTCAGGCCGACAGTTCCGTGGAAATGTACCTTCTGCCTCCCCTCTTTCCCATCGTCTGGCTTCGGCCTCAGTTGGCCATCACTAGACACGTACATGTCTTGGTGGATTGAGGACCCCATGAAGAACTTACCCCTACCGCAACGTACGGAGGAAAATTGCCAGACATGATGGTGAAAGTATGGGAGGTTCTTCCTGCGAAATTCCCAACAGGGAAAGTACTGATGACTGATCAGAACTTCGAAAGCAACCGGACGCGGATAAGCTAGTGCTACGTTCAAAAGGAAGTGGATCTACCTACCCCAGATGCTGCTAAGGCCTGCTGATGGGAGGCATGCATAACCTTAGCAACACCCAGTTAGGCTGATTTTCTAGACTAACTTAGTATGGTATCGTAGCTTCGGATCCTTTGCTCGTATTACTTTGCCATGAACAAGTCAACCATGACAGGACCTCATATTCGTTGCACACTTTCCCAGTGCTGAACGAATCGCCTATTACCTCTACTTCTACTACTAATGCTGCTGCTGGAGGCATGAGCTGTACTTCTACACAATAATTTACGAGACTTAATTCTTAATATCAACAGCGTCAAATTTAAGTTTTCGCTCTCAACTGAAGCAGAAGGGCCAGGTTCAACGATGCGCCCCAAGTACCAAGCAGCGCCAAATTCTGCGCAGCTTGCATGAGAACTAAGTGGCTTCTGTCCCTGTTCACGACTGTCGGGTTTGCTGAGGAGAGCCCGAAATCAAGTATTCCACTGAGCTCCGACATGCCCCGTCCGTGATATGAGAAAGCCATATCTCGGAGATGCTCACGAAGGTGCGACTTCAATGTTTCGGGGCTGCTTTTTAGAAATGCCCATTGCAAGACATGATTTAGGAAGATTCCAAAGATGCTATAAGGTGTGGCAGACTGTAGTGTCGGGTTGCTCATGATTGATGTAGTTTCCATGACTGATTTGGCGAAGGCATCTAGAGACTCAAATGGCAACTCTTGGTGTGCTCCAATACAGTTGGTGTATCCGTTTGTGAAGTAGACTCGAAGTCGGCCCAGGCTTTCGTCAACAGCATTTGCTCCGCCTTTTCCGAGAGCATCTTGCAAATCAGCAACGCACGTTTGTAGTTGAATGTTTACTAGGCCACGGAGTATTTGAGATGCGTTCTGAAAGTACAGCACTGGACTTTGCGCCACATCCGGGATCGGGTTGCCACTGTACTTGGTGCCGTAGTAGCATTCCCATGATTTCAAAGATGCTGAAATGAACGCGTCAGCTTTGGCATAGACAAGTGGAAGACAGTATGACTTACCGATGATGTTGTCCCGTATCCGCAGACTTTCTTGATGGCAATCACTGCCCGTATCTTGTATCATGGCAGGGTCACTGCCGACCTGTACTGACCAATCGTGCGACCAGTCCAGTGCCTGGCTAGCCAAGCAACTCAGAACAAGGAATTGTGTCCACGGGCTGATGCTATCAGTAATAGCAGAGACTGATGGTGCCAAGGTGGTGAAACTAGCTCTTCTATTGTTCGTAAGAGCCTTAAAAACAATGCCAAACTCTGGTGCCGATAAACTCCCCAAGGATTTAACTAAAGTTGCCCAGATTGGAGCACTCGTTGTACACCATGCGGCGTCATCACCCGGGCACTCCCACCTAGCGACCTCTGCGAGAGACATCATACTCCGCATGTTCAAAATGGCGGGGAACTGTGAGTCAATCATGAATACGTACCAGCGTAAACGGCGCTTGAACTCAGATGTTGCCCATGCCCTCCAATGATCTTCAACACGACTACCTGCGACATCCGCAACTTTCGTTTTCGGTTGAAACAGACGTCTGACGTATGTCACCAAACTTCCTCTGAATGCTTCGGCAGTCTCAAATGCCCCTTTGTTTCCGCACCATAACCCAGTATACACTAGTAGTGAAGATGCATAGATAGTTTCAGGATGTCTGGTCAAGCTTTTGTCGGCTTCGATCAGCGCTTGGAGATTTTGACGAGCTCTATCGAGCATGAGTATGGAAAAGCGTCTTGTGTGCCGGATACGGCTGTATGTGGCGCCGATGATGATCATGGCGGAGAGTAAAGATGACGGCAAGTGATCAACTAAGAGCGTTGGTAAGTGAAGTACAGGACTTTGTTCATAGAAACGGTCGAAAAATAGCCCCAGAAAGACATTCGCAACTGCCAGAGACGGCGGAATCAGATTCTCCGAGCCGGGAGTCTCAAGCTTTAGGAACTCTCGAACGCGAATCCATGTTGATTCTAGTATGTCGAATCGAGGATTATGTAAAATCATAAGAGGGTGTGACGCGTTGATAGAAATAGAATGTGTCTGACAAAGACTTTTCGACGACGGGTTCCACGCAAATGCTACTCCGTCCTCTCTAGAGGGCACGTTCGGAGGAGAATTAACTCTCGATATATTCTCTGGCCCATCCGAGATTTCGGCTAGAACTAAAGGTGTTGTTCGGTCGTCGTTTGGGGCCACTCGTGTACTACTGCCAGGCATGGCTGGATATTGACCCAGCCAATTCCAGTGAGCAGACAGTGACATCGAATCGTCTTGGAGTATGAAAGGATCACTTATATGTGATGTCTCTCTTACTGCATCGTAGAAATCTGGTGTGAACCACTGGCTTGAGTCAACCCACAGGCTATCCTGCCAAGGTTGAACAAAATACGAGAAGTCCATGTTCGCCGCTGGCTCACTGGTTGTTGCCATTGTATCTTGTGGCCTGGAGAACGCGACGTATGATGGTGAAAGAACCGAAGACGCTGCATAACTAGCCTTGGGCGTCTTGTTCGTGGCGCGGTCAACATCAAGATACTGCAGTCGTGAGTCGCCAACAAGTAGCGGGTGTGTTCCCGGTTCTCTGTATCTATCTCGCGGTTGGGACGAAAGTTGGCTGGGGTTCTCTATGATGAAGGAGTAATCCACCTTTTTCGCTGATGATAATTCATTCTCGTCACGTACTGCATCCTCTTGGCTAAGCTTCTGATGAAGTCGTTGGTGTTTCTTGAGAAGATCGCTCCGTGAGAACCTTTTCTGGCAAATCATACAACGGTGAGGTAGGTTTCCCTGGTCTATGCATTACAACAGTCAGGACTCAAGCGTCACCAGCTCCTTCGTGCTCGTTCATGAATGACCTACGCGTCTTTTGATGACGTTTCAAGTTCTCTATGCGAGTGAAAGATCGAGAACAGACCCCACAAGTGTGGCTAGTCTGTTCAACCTCGTTTGGTGAACCCATCGACTCTATTGGGCAATCTGGGGAAGCTCCTGCGCCCCAAGTCTCTGTGGAGTTGCCGAGATGTGTGAGTGATTCCGCGGGTGGACGGAGACGTGAAGCAAATTGGCGTTGAGGTGGACGTAGCGCCCCTTTTATGAGCTTCGTCCACCTTTCCCCCACACATCCGGGTGGACGCTGATCCGAAACAAGCCTAGTGTTAGACACGCTCGGATTTCCCGAAACGGGTCTTACTTAGATGCCTATCCACACTTACTAGGCATGCCATTCAAAACCTGGGTAACTGCACGTCACTTGGCTTCAAGGCCGAATCTCATGCCAATCCAGCAATTCTTATTCATCATATCTTGCTTCTCTTGCAATTCAAATGGATCCCTCAAAGACCATCCTGTCGGAGCCAACCCGGCTAGTTACAACCTCGAATGGTGCTTGGCGCGACGCTGAGTCAGGGGTCGTTACTCTTACAAATGGCGAACTATCAGGATCTTCGAAACAGGCATCAATAACTTTTGACTTTGGCCGATGCATTGGCGGAATTCCTACATTCTTGGTTGATCGTGCGAGTGGCGAGGGTCCCATCAGCGCGAGAATCTTTTATAGCGAAACTCATGAAGGAATCGAATGCGAAACAGGTAGAGATATTCTCCTTTAACCGTTATTGTGTCTCAACTAACACAATTTCGAGGCGATGGCCCCTACTTTTTCTTTTCCAATGCTATGGACTGTTATCGCAATGTTTCAATGACTGTAGCGCCCTCGGAATCGCAGCAAACTATCAAACCAAGACTCGCACAACGATCCCAGAGGTACTTGAAAGTTGTTCTCATCACTTCCAATGCCACTCTTGTAATCAGCAAATTCGGTTTCGAGTCAATCAGGCCAACAATACGACCCAAGGCTTCTTTCAGTTGTTCAGACGAGATTCTCAACCGCATTTGGAATGACGGTGTCAACACGCTAGAAATGTGCACCGTGGTCAAAGGCGAGACGGCCCCAGCATGGGACATCACCGACCAAGGGACCAGAGTTCTTGGTCAGCATTGGGCTCCTTGCCGCCAAGGCACGCGATGGGGCGACAAGGAAGTTTCGTTCCAGGTTCTTGTTGAAGAGCTAGGTGCGAGTTGGGGTGTCCACATGGTTGCCAATGGAGTCATCTTCTGCCTGGACGTCATCCAGGAAGAGCTTCGTGCCTTTGAGGGGATGTCACATGTATCAGCCGTATTCCCAGTCAAGTCCTTTGGCAGCTGGTCTACTCACGGAATTGTGAAGCAAGGCGAATGGATCAAGGTTTCTACCATTACGAGCGGCAACCGGATCACCGTCATCATCAACGAGAGAGAAGTTGCAACAATCACAGACGTACAGATCCGACCCCTTCTTGGAGGTTCGGGAATCAACACTGGCTCTGTAGCTTTCGGAGGTCCTGAGGGTTGGCTTGCTCTCTATCGCAACTTGGATGTCAGAGACGCGAACGGGGATTGTCTCTACCAGAATGACTTGTTATTCGGCAACAAGGAGAGGACACTGGCAGACTTCCAAGTTGGGACGAATGCTGTATCATGCATGGTAGATGGTGCAAAGAGAGATCGAGCAACATTTGGAGGAGATCTCTTTGTTTCAGGTCGAGGCGTTGCATATTCCGGTATGGATAGTGGGGCTGTTGCAGGAAGCATCGAGCTTCTTGCTAGCCATCAGACTGAGGCAGGATACCTTGGAAATTTATGTCCTATCCAGGCCCCTATCCACGCAGGGACCGAGCCTCCTCCAACTTACGCATTCTACTCTATGACTTACGCCCTGTTGTTGGTTGTCGCCATCAAGGACTATTGGTTGAGTTCTGGAGACCATGAAGCTCTTCGGCGTTATCTTCCGGCTGCGGAGAAGTTGCTCGAGTACGCCGAATCCCAGGAGAAGCCATCGGGACTGATCGAAGTTTCACCTGACATGTCAAGTAAGATAAGAATCTGTCTCTCGGCTGCATGGTGTATTGGCTAATCCTCCGTAGTGCATTGGTATCCGCTCGGAGGACCTGTTTTTGGAGCTTCTGGTACAACGAATTTGGCATATTACGACGCCCTGAACGCTGTGAAGACTATGACCACCGACGGCCAACGAAAGTCCCAATTATCTGAGAAGCTCGAGACTCTGAGAAAGAGCATTCTGACCAATCTATGGAACTCTGAAAAGGGTTGCATCCGTATGGGGTCCGCTTTGCCAGAGGAAGGAATCTGTCAGGACACGAATGGCTATGCCGTTGCACTTGATGTTGCTGAAGACAGCGATCTTTGTGCATCTCACCTCTCCGGGCCTCCAGGCTGGTTGCCTGCAGCTTTCAAGGGTCTTCAACATTGGGACCGTACAGGTGTTGTGAGTCCCTACGCAACAGGATTTGCCGTAGAGGCACTATTTTCACGCCAAAAGGGTCGTGAAGCAATCCAACTGATTGAAAATGTGTGGGGTCCAATGGCGGACACGTCAAGTCCAAATTACTCGGGAGGACATTGGGAAGCGATGACAGTTGAGGGGAAGCCCTTCGGACATGACACCTCACTTATGCATGCTTGGTCCTGTTGGCCAGTGTTTCTCCTGCCGCAGTATGTGGTTGGCGTGAAGCCGCTACAACCGGGTTGGAGTAAAGTACAGCTTGCGCCAGTGTTGTCCGGTCTTAAGTCTGCTCACTATCGTACCGAACTTTCGCAAGGCGTGCTTGAGGTTGAGGTCAGCGTCGATGAGACTGCTGGGGTGATACTCATCCAGGCAACTCTCCCTGTTGGAACAACGGCAGAGATTGTGGCCCCTGCTGGGTACTCAAACGAGAGTACTGAGGGCCTTGAAGGCCCCGTTGACAAAGCGAATATTACCCTTCGTCGCGTATGAGTTCTTCAGAGATGAATTGGAAATTCAGGAGAATAAAAGATATTTGGGGTGATCACAATCTCGTTGTGTCTTTCATCGACGTAACCACATGGTCCATTTGCGCTTTGTATCGAGAGATGAATAACTGAATTGGTGGCGGAGTGATTTTTTAAGCGTGATTTCTCTTCTATAAGCTGTTGAAAGCCTCTTCGAGTGCCCTTCTAACACCTACTTTCTCCCACCTCTTTCCTTCCCTTTCAATAAGAAGTAAAAAAATGAAGTACACTCGCTCTGAATCCTATATATGGCGATGAAATACGCCTGTTTCTAGCACTCAGCGGGCGTGAGACGCTTATCTAGCCTCTGAGATGGCATCTGACTGCTGCTTCACATCTGCTTTGGTTGTTTATTCCGCGTTCGACACGCCAGAACCATACGATGAGCCACTTTCTCGGACAATCTGAAGCCGAGCCCGGCCCAAGTCCACATTCGTACTCATACGTCTCTGCGTTCAATTACCATTCTGCTATTTTATGGTAATGACCTGTCTAGGTCTCCTCTAGGGAATTAGTCTCAGATTGCCTCAATGTTACCCATCATAGCCTCACTTTTATAGAACCAAGTTTCAACTCCATTTAGTGTCCTATTCGCATTCATGTGCAGTTCACGCTAACTCAAATGCTTGTCCTACCCAATGATGTTGCATTGCACTGTTGATTGTCCACCACTGCATTATCTCTGGGAGCATTTGAACCGCCTTCTTGAAGCTGCCGGCCACCAACCTCATTCCATTTTGAATGAATCACCAGAGCGGCAAGTACCAGTGAACTTCGGAATCGCTCTATGGCTAGATGTCATACGATCGGACAGAGTGAAATGAGTTGCAGCACTTCAAACACCAGCAGCATCTTTTATCGACGCGATGAATTCACCAAGGCGATCAAGGTCTGCTTGATAAAGAACATCAATAACGTGACAAAAGCCTAGTTTATTTATTACTTGCATTTGTTTCTGAGGTCTCTTTTTCCAAGTTTTCTGTGTCAGAGATGAGAGCCTAGAGTCTAAACTGGTGATCTCCGTTCTTCGTCTCGTTGCCGGACTGAATGCACACTGTGGAGCATTTCGTCAGTCTTTCCCTGACATCAGGCAGCTTCCAACTATAACACGAAGTCGGCTAAGGAGGTCCCTGGATGACTATCCGCAATTGCTGGCCTGGTGACGGCTTTTTGCTACTCCGGATGATTTCACGCCTAACCCAGGCGGAGCGAAAGCCTCCTGTTCACGAATGGGTTGCTCCGGAAGAGATATCTCTTGAGTACATGGTATTTTCGGCCCCGAATAACCGGCTGTACTGGTTTTCATTCGCGTCGTTGGATAGCACATGTGGAAAAGCCACTCCAAAATTCACAAAGACGGGCTGGTTCGGGGAAAGAACCGCCTTGGTGACCAGGTTGTGGAGGCAACTACATTCCGTGACATCTACGCCAACAGACAGCACACGGCTCTGGTGGCCCTGAGGATCATGGTTTTTTCCTGGTGGCATTTTCGAAAAATAATGATAATCAGCGACGCTGCTCATTAGGTATGCGAGTTTCATGATGATTCTTGTGCACCAAGAATGACACTTAATCTTGGCGAAGTCTTCATGCTTGAACAGTCATTGAAAGGCATCTCATCGAAAAGGGTCGGGAACATTGTCATCACTATTTCCAACGAGAATAATATCCCTAGAGTTTTGTATCGTTAATTCGCACTGCTGCAGATCATATAATTGGACTACCTATCTAGCTAAGGAATCCCTCCATCCATTGTAACAGCCCCTGACGTCTTTGATCACTCGAGATGATAAAGTGGTTCGAGCTTAGCGTTTCTCTGGAGAAGAACATATCTCCTCACAAACCAAGGTAACCATGTACAGACCTGATATGCAGCATGGCGACGTGTGGGGACTCCAAAGATATAGTCTAGCTCTTCCAGTGTCCGTTGCCTGGTACCAAGAGTGAGTAATTGCTTCTGGCTTTCTGAGCGATATGAAGATGGACCCACTTTGTCTCTGGAATGAGGAAGAAGATGACGATGAAAGCGAGCAGGTTGAGACCGGCATAGAAGCAGAATGCCCCAGTCGGCCCAATCCTGTGTAAAAGCTCGGGGAAGGTTAAAGTGAGGGCACTACCAACCGCATTGTTGACGCAGATCGTGAATGCTGAGCCTATCTCACGATGAGACAGAGGGAAAGCCTCTGAAAAGTAAATGGATGGGAGAGGGCCCATGCCTGTTCGTGTTTTAGCTTTTCTCAAATACCTTTTTGGATTTGGAATGTAAGTCTGCTGTTTTACTGACCTGGCCCGTACATTGCTGTGAATAGATAGATGAAGAATGCAATGAGTGGTACTCTCGAGCTTGAACCTTGATTGATAAGGAAGCAAAGGCCCGAGGCTAATAGGCACCAAGCCATGTTAGGAAAGGTGATAAGAAGGAGATTCCTTCGGCCGAAAGTATCCATCATGTACACCGCCGGGAAGGCGAAGACAAACATGACGAGGCCGAATCCCATAGAGGCGAGGAGACATTGTTGGGCGGAATAGCCAGCTTGCTCAAAGATTGTCGAAGAGTAAAAGGCCATGATGTTAATCCCGCTGAATTGTTGCGAAATTACTATCCAAGATGAGGCGATGGTTGCACGGCGGAGGCGGGGAATGACAAGCAGATCGGTCACTCGCCGTAAAAGCGTCTGGCCACCGAACGCGTCTTTTTCTTCAATGACTTGCCTATGGGCATAGTACAAATCTCTGGCAGCCATCATTTCGGTATTCCGAAGGCGACAGAAGGATTTGAAGGACTCTTGGTAGCGACCTTTTTTCATCAACCAACGAGGAGATTCTGGATCTCTGGTCAGACTTCCCAGACAAAGAACTGAAAATCACTACACATACCAGGGCAGAACCAAACAAAGATAAGAACTGGAATAGCAGGAGCAAATGCGGCACCCAACTGGAATCTCCATGCTAAATCGCCGATACGAAACCATATCAAGTTGGAGCAGAAGCCGACGAAAATACCGAACGCGACCCACAGCTGGAAGCTAGTGACGATTCCGCCGCGAATAGCAGCAGGCGCAACCTCGGCCGAGTATACCGGAATTGTTGAAATCTTGACTCCCATTCCTAGGCCCATAAACAAACGGCAAATCAAGAGGCCCCACCAATTCTGCGTAAAAGCCTGGGCAAGAACGGGAAACACACAAAACAGACCGGTCAAAAAGATCGTTCCGCGGCGACCTAGGTAGTTATTAATAGGGTCGGCAGCCCATGCGCTCAGGAGACCGAACAAGGTCGGGCCGGCGTTGATGACACCAACTAGTGCCTGCCTGTCCACGATACCGAACTCTTGAGGGAAAGAGAGGTTGGCGCCGTTGGCACCCGTGTTATCCCATCCCTGGATAGCAGAGCCGAGTGAGCAGAGGGCGATGCTCCAGTAGAGGTCCCGGGGAAGATGCCATTTGTGGGTGACCTCCCGGCGGAGCACATTTTTGTCGTCCTCAGTCAGTTCTTCGAACGAATCGTACGTCTCTGGGTTTTGAGCTGCGAGAGCGCCGCGATAAAAGACTTCCTCTTTTTCGCGGAAGCCATACTCGCGGCAGAATCCAGACACCTGAACGCGAAGATCTGTCTTTGAGACTCCGATGAGTGGATTGCGGATTCTACTGGCCGTGGTTAATTGCTATTTACATAAGATAAATGAGTGAATAACTACTTACTTTGCGTCGATATTGCGGCTGTAGTCTGCATCCGTGTGCTCAACGTGATTGACGTCAAGTTTTGACTTGACGTCCCCCTCGAGGTCGGATACGCGTGACATGGTGGCTGACTTTTTGAATCAAAGGAAGAATTCGTCTCTGAGGAGAAGACTAAAGTGAATCCACTCGGGAGATGATAGTAGAGTATCACGATGGAGGCTCCTTTATAACTTGATTCACATCAACCCATCCCATCCTGGTTGCTCCTCCCCAAGTTCCGGCATCGTCCCCCATGGGATCAGATGGAATATTACCGGGTCCTCGTCACTAACGCCGGACGTCTCAGTCTCATCGGCTGTTGAACGGCTGGGGGGATCCTTCGTACCTGCTCCCGTGACCAAAACACGCTGCAGCAAACCTCCCTGTGCAGGGCATTTCATGGTGGTTGTTTGTTCAGGATGGGGTAAGTGCGGGGCTGCCCTGTGTGTGCCCAAGAACTCTAGAGTTTAGGTAGCATGCTAAGACACGCTAGTTTCTCTGGCCTGTGCAGGGCGATGTGTATGGAAAGTTGTTGGTCTTGAACCTTGATATTAGGCTGTTGGGGAGGCGGCCGCGAAGCCTCGACTAATGAAGGTCTTTCGCCCGACTGGAAGACCCGGGGTTCTTGGGGACATTTGGTATTAGAGTAGGTAGTAATTAATGAGTGTGGCATCTGATATTCCAAAACTAGTACAAGCTCGCAGCATCATAGTCTGACCTCAGGGCATCCCCATCAACGGTGAAGACACAACATTGACGACGTCGTCTATACCAGTGTCAAAGTCGAAGTGGGGTCGCCAGCACCCAGGGAAATGGTCCCTAGCACAGTCGTATTATGTTGGTTTTACCCCAGAGTATCCTCTTCGCCTCCTCCCACCCCAATCGTCGATGTGAACAGACGATGAACAAGGGTAAAAGCCCCCACGGTGCGGGGTCAACAGCGCCCTGCGTGTTGCCTTACATTGACCTGCGTGTGGCATCCTGGGGGCTCAAAAGGATGTTCGCATGATTGGTCCTACGGTGTTCGGAATGGGACCACCGATAAGTTCAGTGATGACTGCGAAGATGCCGCCACACGCAGGGCATGAGACAGTTATTCTAGAGACAGCAATGCCGAAATGTTTGAGTTGAGTTATTTGCTATTAAAGGAAGATTTCCCATGGGTGCAAAAACGTGAAATAAGGATCGAATAACTGAGAACGCCAGGAAATAGAACGTCACGACCTCGATAACCAGCAAAATTTACCTCTGATCCGCAATCATGGGCAGCCAAGGCGCAATCACATGGCTTGACAAGCTTGAGGAACAGAGTAAGTGAAAATTTGCGCCTGGATCAACGTTACAGAAGCCTGGACACTCATCAACGTAACACAGTAAACGTCGATGTCGATTGGATGGATCCTGAGTACATCAAGAGCATGCCCATTGTCCCCCACGACCAAACAAGCAACCAGCTCTGGGTTGATATCCAGCTTGGCCATGAATCGAACAGGCATCTTTTCCTCGAGACTGCAAAGGAATTGAAGAATGAAGGGTGGCTCGCCATCTACACTCGCATGGTATCACTACATCAATTCCTCGTACCCTATGATGGTAGGCTGACATCGAATCCTCAGGCCGTTCTCATGTGCAAAAAGAACGTCAACTCTATCCGCGGCCGAGTCCTTTTGCAAACCCTCCCCTCCAACGCGTACAAGACACAGGAAACCCTCGATCATGCACGCCTTTATGATCGTGAATTTGCCAAAGCCGGCATCGGGCGCGATCGATACTGCATCAAAATACCATCGACTGGACCAGCTTTGAACGCTGCAAAGATCTTGTCCTCAGAAGGGATTCCCACCCTAGGGACAGCGATCTTCAGCTTGCCTCAAGCTATTGCTTGCAGCCAGGCCGGCATGCTGTACATCAGCCCGTATTACAATGGTCGGGTCAGCCCAACCACTTTATTTGGCATTATTTGCTGATTTCTGTCGCAGAGGTGCGGGCCCACGATGAACCGGATGTCCTCTGGCCGAATGTCGAGGACCCAGCAACGCAACACCCTATGTCGGCACGAATCATCCAGATCATCGAGACATACAAGCGGCTGTACAAAGAGACCGGCAAAGAACAGCCACTCGTCAAGAACGCCAGGTGAGCGCATATGAAACTGTTCTTGTTCCAAGCATCGCTAAGCTATTCATTCTAGCTTCATCTCAGCCAAAGAGGCTATGGCGGCAGGGGAAATGGGATGTCATTCTGCAACCATCTCCCACACTGTCCTTGACCAACTAGCCAAGCTTCCTTACGATGGTAGCAAACAGCCAGGCGAAGGCGTGCCGAAGCCTGTTCACGTCTACAAAGACATCGGTCCGACCCCTGAGCGGCTGAAGAAGCTCGCCACCATCGACCCTCTGGCAGCGGCCGAGTGGGACGGAAACCTGGCCCGTACTGACGTTGACTACCTCGCTGATGGCGGTGCTGCGCTGCAGAAGGCTATCGAGGCCGACCCCGTTACGACGACTCGGCTCTCAGATGCGCTGAAGCTCTTCATCGGCGGGGAGAAGAGCAGTCAGGGAAAGATTGAGGAGGTCCTGAAGCAGATGTGAGACGAACGGTATCGTCGGTATGTCCTGGGTACGAATGAGTCGTGAAGTGGCGTTCGTTAGAGTACATGAGAATCCGGGACATTGAAATAGACTATCCATGCCAAGAGACCCATTGTTGAGAGTGCTGATGTAATGGTTCTTCATCTAAGCTGGTTCGAGAAAGATAGTGAGGCCTGAGCAGAACATTCGGTAGCTCGATGGAGTTCTCGTCCGGGGCAGGAAACTGAATCGTGTCCATGTTGAGAAGCAGCGCCTGCTGTGTTGGGTTTACGTCGACGAACATTCGATAGTCGGCTGCTTCTGATGTCGCAACTGGCAGAGAATCCCGTGTGATGGTAGGTGGTATGATTGGGATGTCGTCTGGACTCGCAAGGGGAGGTTCGGGGGGGAACACTGGGAGATGAGTTTGGGTAGTCTGAGGCCAAGATGTGTCGCGCAATAAGTCGTCAAGGTTTGGGACTGGGTTAATATCGTGTGTCTGATCCACCTTTAGAAGCTGCGAGAGATGAGATGCTTCGCTCGGGTGGGTTTCGATTGTCATCGCAGCCCGAGCTTGACCACCACGAGACCCCTTGTCTTCGCTGGAACCATTTCCCTCGCGTATGTGATGGCCTTTTGCTTCGCGACTAAGCATTTCATCCTCGGTTTTCATAAGACCCGCAATATTAGAAATGCTTTTCGGCAGCCGGGAACTCGCGCCGGCGTTGCCTCTCCAGACATTGATCTCTGCCAACAGCTCATCGCGTTCTCGTAGCAAGGACTCAATATCGCGAAGAGCGTCGACGCATCGGTTTTCCAAGAGCTTGTGGCGGGCAATGCTCTCATTAACGACGACATGCTTCGATAGCCGCTCGGGATCAGTGTCTGCAAGGACTGGCAGCTGGCCGGCGAGTTCCTGTGGAATGGATGATTAGTCTGGTTACAAACTTAACAGCTGCTCCTGTCTCTCCCGTCAATGCTCACGGTCAGGCGTTCCTTGAAGGCTTCGCGGCGACCCCTTTCAAAGATGCGATGGGCGGCGCGGTCATCGGCGGAAAAGTTCCTGACGCGTTTTTTGGTGGACTTTTTGCCCGGCGCACTCTCCGGCAGCGGCACAGTCGCTGTTATGCCTTGAGAGACGGATTGGAGCGCGGTCGTATTCATGGGGCGATGTCCTCATTTGAGACGGCTATTCGAGAGGTTTGGTGCCATGCGAGAAGCTCTCGACAAAGCGAACGTCTGACCGAGGATGATAGTGAGCTGGATGGGTGAAGATCAGTCGTTGAATTAAGACGAACGTTGACGAGAGGGATTTGCGAGGTTGGCGTACACAGTAGGAGTAAGGCTATTGTCCGACAAACGACCGAAGAAAGGAATACCCATCCCCCCCCCCCCCCGCAGCTGGTCTCAGGATCATGTTGGCTGGGATCCCCGGCAATCATCTGGTAAGCTACGAACCCCGCATAAGCTAAGGACAAGAAGCCAGAACCACAACGGAGGGCCCAGAACTCAGAGGTGTCCATTCTACGGCCAAGTGGGTTGTGCTCCGGGGTGGCATCCATTCCATGATTCGGGGGGTTTCTTGAAGCTCCGCACGGCCAATTTCGGCCATGCCCGTCAGCAAACTTGCGCTTTGCAGCCGAGCGGATGTCCAGGCCGGGTGAAGCTTTCCATGGGCATTGGGAGCTCAGGATCGGGCCGCTTTCAGGACGGCCCCGCTTGGCCCAACGACATGAAAAATATGGATGACTTAGAGCAAGTCTCCTCAAATTTCATCAACAGCGAGCTTGGAAAATTAATTGATCCAGTTAACTCGAATTCCTAGGTAGAGGTATCGCTTTTGTGTATATCTCATTGAGCTGCTTTGTTACCGTCTTGACCTGGTCTTTCCTTTGCATAATTATAATAGCTCAAGCAAGTAATAGTTGATCGACCTAAACCCAGGGCTTTCCCTTTCATTTCATGTGATAAAAGTCAATTCCCTCTTGCAACGTTGGTCTGAAGTATATGTAACTGTTATTGGGCACAAACCTTATCATTCCGGACACGGTGCCCCAGAGAACCTTGTTGGAAAGGTCTGGAAATTCGAGGCGTCAGAGGCACCCTTATCTTGGTAATCTATGCAATGGAACTGCGAGGTACGAGCACAAACGCAAGGGTTCTATCGAGACTAGGTGAATAATATGTCAGGATGACAGAGTGAGCGTCAAGAGGAAGGTAACATGAAGGAAGTCCCGGAAACTTGAAGCTGAACGGCCAAGGTATAGGTTGGCTAGCGGGTGTTACACAGCATGTCCGCAGAAGTCTATTTTAGATGACATTGCACGCCTGATCATCCAAAGCAATGTCGGCACTTGCTTGGGAATATTTTGTCATGAGCATCCGATGTTTCCGCTCTGGAGCCGGTCTTAGAGTCGATAATAACTATCGAGTGCTAAGTCAAATGATGGAAAATGGGTGGTGTGCAGTATTGACATCGTGTTCTGGAATCCTCGGCCCTCTGGGGCAGCACT